GGATTCCAGGGATGATTGGAAAGATACTTTTCAGGTAAATGTTTAGGAAGTGAAAATGTATGGCTCCGTGTGGAGAGAATGAACGAAGTTAAAGGCGCTGAGTTCATTCATGTGGCATATACTTTTTTGAACACCCAATCTAATTTAATAATGAACAGAACAGACAAGGTCCTGTCTTGTGTAATTTTCAGTCTGGTCTGAGAAGGCACTCCCTCCTCATACCTATCATTATGACTGTAAAATTAAAATTGAATGGATGTCAAGGTAGAATGGTGAAAGCCGCTGCTATGGGAGCATCTAAACAGAGGTTCTAACCTCAAGGATAAAGCGAAGTGCCCAGAGGAGGTGAACATTAAGAGGCAGAAATGTACAGATTGGGTAGGAGTTAATCAGATGAGAGGGGAGGAAAAGAGTATAGCTGGAGGAAAGAGCAGGTGCACAGACCTGGACACAGGAGGAAGCACTGGTAGGGCAAAGGAGACACAGAAGGCCACCCGTGTAGCGGAAGGGAGCGTGCAGCAAGCCACAGCGGCAAGCTGTGTGCTTGTGTGGCACATGCTGCTGTTGCCGAGACAAAGCTCAAAGGGGAGCCTCTTACACCTGAGAGGGGTACAGGTGAGGCTGTAGACACCGGGGATACCCAAAACACCATGAGCACACCCACGGTAGGTGCACCATGGCGGCGGAGGGTGACCGAGGATGAGCCGGTACAGTGAGCAGGGCACTGGGAGTGGAAAAAATACACAGAATGGAGCAAAGGATGCAGGAGAACCCGAGTGAAGAGCAAAAGCATGCCAGAAGGTATACGGTGTAAGGAGACAGAGCTGCCATAGAAAAACCCACGAGAGGGAGAATATGGTGCCTCTACCATCCAGCGTAATTAAGCGCTCCCTTGTGCTAAGCCTGAGGCATGTCTCAAGGTGATCTGCGTGGCAGGGGAGGAAATGAAGGCAAGAGGAGCACGCACCACTACTTTTTGAGAAACAACTTGGTTGACAGTGATAGGAAAAGACTTCAGAGTCAAGGAGACTTTTTTGGGGGAGGGAGGGCAGTTGGGGATGGATGAATTTAAGTGCAGTTAGAGATCCAGGGGAAGAAGCTAACGGGGAGAGGTAAATAATTTAAAGGAAGTGGGAAGAGGTTCCAGAACAATGGAAGGATGAGGGAGTATCAGAAGCAGCTTTATCTTGCTCCTGCTTCTCTTGTCTAGTTACTGTTTCGAGGGGATAGTGTGATACCAAGGGTCATGCAGCAGTTTGGGGTACAGATGCAGAACGCGGCATCTCAGCATTTAGCCCCTTTTATCCTAGATCAAGGATCTAAAGTGCCAGGTTAACCCATAGCCTCATGGGTGCTGGAGGGGCCTGTGCAGACTTGGGGTGGAAGGTGCACAAAAAGCTGGGGTGCCAGGCTTCCAGAGCCTAGAACATGTTCTTTAGGGGAGAGGGCAAGTGTGATTCAAAGGAACGCCAAAGCAGTCACTACTTCCTGCTACAGCTGCCCCTTCCAAGGCCGAACCCCACTACCCTTAGGACTAAAGCAAAAATCCCCAGAGGTATGAGGAGTCAGGCAGAAGGTTAAAAGAAGAAAGTATCAGGGTACAGCACTTGGGGGGCCTGCGGGGGGATCCCATTCAATGTCCAGTGGAACTCCTTGCCTTTTGTGAAGTGGTTTCCTGCCACATGTATATCCTGAAACATGAATTAAACCTTTGTGACAAGTAGACAGCACCCCTGCCCTTGAAAACAACTCATGAAGGAATCTAAACAGATGAACTTCAATTCAGACAGGAACACGGGGGTAAAATAGCCCAACATCTTAAGGGTGTGAGTACTTGGTGTGTAATGAGTGTCAGGCAGCGAACCTCTATTCCTTCAACCATCCCGAATTTTTAGTCTTATAAGGGGTAAAGAAATGACCAAAGAAAGCCCTAGGCCTTCCCCAATTAGTCTCTTTTCCTAAGTTTATAGTTTCCAAGTTTATAGGACTTCATTGCAGAAGTGCCCCCAGCCCCGGGAAAGTTAGCTTTCTCTCGCCTCAGAATCTTCTGTGTCAGCCAGGCAGTCTTGCCTTCTCTCACCATCCACTCCCCACCCATGATCCTCTAGCAAAGGGTCTTTGCTTAGGAAACTTCAAGCTCAAACTTCCAAACTTCAAACCTCTCCCTGGTTCAGACCTTCCCTGTGGGCCTCACAAGAGTACCCACTCATTCCTGGCTTCCTGTCCACCGCCACATGGAAAGGTGGTCAGCACAGTGGGTGGGCCCACTGCAGGTCAGGAAGGAAGGCTGCACCCACCTCTGGGCACTCAGTGGTGACTTACCCAGAGGACTCCACTCCCCCACACCGGACACAGGAAAGACAAAAGCGCTTCCATTACAGCAACTGAGCTCACCTTCCTGCCCAACCTACAGATGCCTTTCAACTTAAAACTTGCGCATGCATTTTCTTACCTCTGGAAACTTCATCTGGTAACTTCCTCCCTGAAACTTCCCTCTGACTGGCCATGGACTTCCCTAGCATCTGGAATTACCTCTCAAAGAAATTTCTTCTTTAATATAGGGATTTCCAACTCATCTCATTGCATTCCCCCAAAGATTTTAAGTTCCTTGAGGGCCAGGGTTCTTGCTCAGGTTTCTTATCTTGCTCACCAGACCTTGTACCAGATCACAGAGAAACTGTGGATATATGTTGAGGTGAAGCTGTAATGTCTGGGGGCTGGACGGTGGGGTGGTGGTGGTGGTGGCATGAGTCCTAGTTATCTTAAATTTTCTCTACCAGTCACTGCTCAGCCTAGCAATGGTCCTCAGAGTGTGGCCTCAGGCAGAATCAGCACCCTCTGGAATCTTCTTAGAAATGCAAGATCTTGGCTCCATCCTCAGCCTCAGGGCGTTGGGCTCAGCAGTCTATTTTCACAAATCCCCCAAGCGATTCTGCGGCCCACTCAAGTTTGAGAGTCACAGTCCCTTTCTAGGGCAATTTGCACTATGGCGTCAACCATGTGGATATTAAAAATGAGAAACATTTTTACATCTATAGAAGACTTCCAGCTCCTCAAACATGTCTCCATCTTCATTCTCCCATCTTCTCCCAGCAGTTGTTAAAGGTTAGCAGCAGTCACAAGAGCATCAGTTAGCTCCAGTCGATGGACGAAAACATTCAAGTTAAGCTGGGGAAGTCCAACTTTCCACATAACAATTAAGCGGAGGCAGAGTCAAAGCAGGAATCTGGTTCAAGGCTCTTTGTACAAACACTCAGAGTCACTCAGCAGCCAGTAAAATGACAGAACCGGTGTGCATAGTGTAGGAACCAGAACGTGAATGCATTGTTCCCTTCCACGGATGTAGACAATAATCTTTCTGGAGGGTTTGGGTTTCCAAGGATCCACCTCTTCAGGGAGATTTTGGACAAAAGTCTACACAGTTAGGAAGAAACAGGAAAAAAAATTTAAATACACAATACTTAATCCATGTCACTCAAAAGTGGTGGTGTTTTTCAACCTATTGCCTTTCTAGGGCTCAGACAGCCACAGCTGTAGGAAACTTTGCTTCCAAATGTTAAGGTCCTAGCACAAACACCCAAGCCTAGGTGGGTGCCCTGGCAGCCTAACTTCTGGAAAATGGGGACAAAGCCAGGCAACAAGAGCTTCTCTGTGGTTGGGTGGCTGTCTGGCGCCCCCTCGTGTTCAGTGTCTGGACCCAAAAGAATCGAAAGGCAGTAGGAGTGGGGGGTTAAGTGCCCAGATGCACCCTCCCAGCCCTCCTCCTCAGAGCGCCTTGGCCACCAAGAAGCCTGTGCCTATCCCTGAGCCCATTCTGGGGCTTTCAGGCAGCACTGAGGGCCCCGCTAGATGTCTTCCCAGCTCTGGTGGAGCTGCCTGGAGCAGGGCAGGTGAAGCTATGCCCAAGCTCACCCAACTGCCTCTTTCAGGAAGATGGATCATGCTGTCCCTTCTGCTAGGCATTTGGCCAGCAGGCTTCTCCTGACTTACTGCCCAGGCCAGAGGCTTTTAGCCTTCTTTAAAGGCACATTGACTATTGTGCTGAAGACAGCTTGGGCCCCTGAGGAGGCAATTGCAAAGCAGTTCTGGATGTGCTAAGTCAGTGGGCAGTAATGGGAACTGTGTGCCCAGCAAAGGCACTTCCCACCCTTGGCCATAAATAGCCCTTAACAGACGCCCACATTAGACTTGGCATTGGTTCTTCCTCTTCACCTGCCTGCACCCTTGGGTTTCCACCCCCAGGGCTCTGCCATCATAGCCAGATCACCAAAATCATGCCCCTACTGTGAAGGCATGACCTTCCTACCTGCACCATGCCAGCTTCAGCTGGGACTGCAGGGTCAATGCCAGCTCCCGGGTCCAGTCCTACCCACAGAACAGGGCTCACCCCAGGAAGCGGTCCTGACGGGAGCCTTAAAGCCATGGTTGGATCTTGGCTCCTCCTCTTAAATGCCAAGTCACATAAATCATATAATTCAGGCCACCCAATTCTCCTAGCCTTGGTCTTCTCATGTGCAAAATGGAGGTCTCACCCTTGAAATTAGTATGAGCAGAATCTAGGATTTTAGAAATAAGATGTTGATAACTAACAGACAAGCACTTTCTCGCCTCTAAGCCTTCATACATGCTGTTCCAACTGTTTGGAACAGTGTTCTCCCTTTTCTTCACTGAGCTAACAAGTCTTCAGAACACTTCTGTGGTCCCCTCCAGTGGTTCCTACAGTCCCCTCTAGCCATCCCCCCCTTGCAGATCCTCCATCAGCCTCCATCAGTAGTCGCATGGTATGCTAATTGGCTATTTGTGGATCTGAGCCCCATTCTACTAGACCAGGCAAGAGCAGGGATCACATCTGCCTTATTCGCTGGGGCATCCTCGGTGCCTGGAACAGCACCTGGCACATGGTGAGCGCTGTGTAAACATCTGGGAATAGGTGAGTGGGCTCAGAGTGAACACAGGTGGGGGCACTGGCACTGATAGCTGTCTCTGCACTGTTTTCTTAGGCCACGGAGGGCTTAACCAGCTGGGAGGGGCTTTTGTGAATGGCAGACCGCTGCCTGAAGTGGTGCGCCAACGCATCGTGGACCTGGCCCACCAGGGTGTGAGGCCCTGTGACATCTCCCGCCAACTCCGTGTCAGCCATGGCTGTGTCAGCAAGATCCTTGGCAGGTAAGCACGAAATTCACCACGTGCCACCGTCCCTGCAGCGCATGCCTTCTGCAGCCCACCTGCCCACCTTGCAGCCGCCCTCCCAGGACTTCGAGTCCACTCCCAATTGCCTGCATAGGCCCGGGCCCTGAACAGGGTGCCCTGATGTCCCTGGGCCACTCCCACCTCTGCACTTCCCCCTCCTTTCCTTTCTCTTCTTTCTTTTCCCTTTGCCCCTATCTCATTTTCTGTAGGTGTCTTTGCTCCCCAAACAGGAGTCTTCCCCAAAGCCCTCCTACCCTCAGCCCCACGCAGCCCTGACCCTGCGCCAGGGATATTTGGGTTCCTCAAACTGTCACTCCCAGAGCACTTGCCACAGAATCACAGGTTGCTTGATGAAATGCGGACCCTAAGGCCTGCTGTCTGCCTCTGTGGGAGCCGGGCCTGGATGCGGTGGTCACAGATGTCCAGGTGGCACTAAGGACCTCCACAAGGCCACTGAGCAGTGGATCGGTACCCTGCTAGCTGCGAGTCACCAGGGAACCTTAATTAAAACCAAATCTGTGCTCAGGCCCCAGCCCACACCAATTAAAGCAGGGTTTCAGGGCAATGGGCCCAAGTTTTGGTAGAGTGCTAAGATCCCCCTGGAGTCATTCTGATTTTCTTCAGCCAGAAGAATTATGGACCCACAGGCTACGAGAGGCCGGGCCAGCAAGCCTGGCTTCTGGGCTGAGAGCCACGTGGGCTAGTCTGGGGAATGACTTCTGTCAGAAACAGCCCTGCCACTGCAGATCTGAGGCTCTCCATCAGCACAGTGTCCCTCCCTCCCTCCCCCACCTCATCTGGTGGTTCCAAGGAGCAAAGGGACCTAACCTGAAGTTGAAAGTGAAAGGCCCTGGTAGCGCTCCTGAAGAGTCCGGGAACGGTGTGCTCCGTGGTTGGGTTCAAAAGGGATTCCCCAGCTGGGCTATCGCGAACCAAGCAGGAGATGAGCCCTGCATGGTAGAGGCAGACACGGAGTTTTAAAGAACTGCAAGAGTCATTTTGTAGAAGAAAATGAGTTTCCACCACAGAAGGGGTTTCCTAGTCTAGGCCATTCTGTCAAAGCAGCTAGTTGGGGGTGGACGGAGAGGTGTGGTGTCCCTGGGACAGCGGGCCTGGCTTCAGGTGCTGGACGAGGCTGGGGATCCAGAGTCCACGAGAGGCTTCAGCCTGAACCGAGTAACCTGGTAGAAGACCAGTGATTGGGGGAGGCTCAGACAGGGTGGAGAGCAAAGGGCAGCCAATGAGACAGGGTCGAAGCCCCAGTGACCCCAGCTGGCGGCCTGGGGAGGGCGTGAACCAGATGGCCAAGAACAGCGAGTCACACTGCCCAGAGAAAAGCCCTTCTGTGAACCTGCAATCCCCAGCAAAGACAGAGCTCAGCATTTCCTTTCTTAGAAAGAACATCTTTTGTGTGCCCTAGTAATAGACTCTTGCAGGTGTTCAGACATAGGAAACTGACTGGGGAGAAGGGAAAAAGAGAAGCCAGGTGAACCAGGGAGGGTCTCTTCAGCAGCGGTTCTAGGCTAAACCTGCCAAGCAAGCGCAGACAGAGCTGGGGATATCAAGTGTCAGAGGTGGCCTGGGGACAAGTTTTACCTCCATGCCCCTTCCCAGGAGTACCAGAGACAAGCAAGCACCTCTGGCCAAGGCCCTGCCCAAAGACCCCACCTGCTTATTGGGTAATTCTTTGGGATTCTCAATTGGAGTAGGTACTACGAGACTGGCAGCATCCGTCCTGGAGTGATAGGGGGCTCCAAGCCCAAGGTGGCCACCCCGAAGGTGGTGGAGAAGATCGGCGACTACAAGCGACAGAACCCTACCATGTTTGCTTGGGAGATCCGAGACCGGCTCCTGGCTGAGGGTGTCTGTGATGGTGACACCGTGCCCAGCGTCAGCTCCATCAACAGGTAAGAGAGAGGAAGCAGTAAGGGACTGGGGTGCCCGGGCTTTGGGTGAATCGTGACAGAGTCTCATGCTAAAGGATCAAGCAGGAAGCACTTGTGGCCCAGGGCAGGTAACACACCTCACTGCTCTGACGTGTTTTGCAGTTTGCATCCTCATACAGTGTCTCCTCTTATTAGTAAAATAATCTTCTTGAATTGATCCTTTCCTGACCTACCCTGGTTATCTGTTCTAACCTGGTTATCGTTCTAGCATTCAGTCATGTGTTGAATTATCCAATGATTCACTCCCTCCCTCAATATGATCATTTATCCAGCCATTCATTCCTACATACACATGCAATGTCTTCATTACAAGCTAGACACTGGGGACACACAATCCTTGTCCCTTCAGATCTTACAGTGTGGTGGTATGACAGACCCTCATCAAGTACCCACACAATTGTAAAATGCAGCTCTAAGTCTTGCTAAAGGGAGGTTCCTGAGTGTATGTGATCTAGCAAAGGGCACTGGGTTTAGAAAAGAATAATGAAATGATGCCCTGAGTAAGGTGAAAGCAAGAGCAAAAAGAGCTGAGGTAGAGGTGGGATAGCACATGCAAAGGCCCTGTGGCTCCAGGATCTTAAACAAGAAGCTAAAAGCAAACTAGTGGGTAGAGGGAGCATGAGGGGCCAAGATGGAGATGTCGGCCAAGGTTGCCCGTTAGGCATCGATGACTGGGTTGTATGTTCTTGCCTCTGACCTATAAGCAATGGGAAGCCACTGGCAGATTTTAAGCAGGAGACTGGCTTCCCCTTCAGAAAGTCTACTCTGTCTGCAACAGAATGGTTGAGAAAGGGTCAAAGGGAGTGGGGGTGGGCCAGTGAGGGACCCTGAAAGGAGGGAGTGGGTGTCGGCACACTCTGAGGGGTTGCAGTGGCGGGCAGAGAGGGACTGATGTGGGGAGATTCTACAAGGTCGATGCAGACCCTGGTGATGGATTTGAAAGCGGAAGGAGGCAGATGTTAAACCGACCTTCCCACCCCCATGTTTCTGCCTCGAGTAACCGACGGTCCCAATCATGAAACGGGGCAACGGGAGGACCAGGTGTGACAGGTCATGGGTTTGACATTGAAGTGCCCTTAAAATACTCAAGTGGTCTCCCAAAGGCATCTGGTGCTTTTGCTTCCTCTCTGAAGGGCCTTTCCTGTCTCCTTGCAGAATCATCCGGACCAAAGTGCAGCAGCCATTCAACCTCCCCATGGACAGCTGCGTGGCCACCAAGTCCCTGAGCCCAGGACACACGCTGAGTGAGTAGGAGGGGTCTGCGGCACAATCAGCCCCTGGTGAACACACACACCTGCGTGCACACACAATCACACACACGCACATCTGCAGATACCGCCGTCTGGGGGGGGGGGGCTGAGCCATTGCATCGGGCAGAGCTTTTCTGGGTTCCCAGGGAAGAGTCGCAGGAATATTTATAGGTAGAAACACTTCAGGTCAGTGTTGACTCTCCCACAGTGGCCCCTACTCCCCCACAGTGCCAGAGCGTTCGATGGGGTGTGTGGGCTCATATCCTGACTCTTTCCCTTTTATCTCACTGCAGTCCCCAGCTCAGCTGTAACGCCCCCAGAGTCACCCCAGTCGGATTCTCTGGGCTCCACCTACTCCATCAACGGGCTCCTGGGCATTGCTCAGCCTGGCAACGACAGCAAGAGGAAAATGGATGACAGTGAGTGTTGGGGGAGCCAGAGGGCAGGTTGGGGGGTGTAGGAGGGCATTTTGCTCAGGCTGGCTGTGATGGGGACAGATGCCCCCGATGGCTCAGGTCTGAATGCCACTCCTGCCGCACCTGGCCTGCCCTGAGTCAGCCCCTGCCCCAAGGCCCCAGCATGGTTCTGTCTCCCTCCCCTGCTGGAGCCAGCTCTCCACTCTGGCTTGGAGCGTAAGTAGAGAGGCCCTCTGAAAGCTCTCTCCCTGCCTGGGGACACCAGGTGACCAGGACAGCTGCCGGCTAAGCATTGACTCCCAGAGCAGCAGCAGCGGGCCCCGCAAGCACCTTCGGACGGACGCCTTCAGCCAGCACCCCCTTGAGCCGCTCGAGTGCCCATTCGAGCGGCAGCACTACCCGGAGGCCTATGCCTCCCCCAGTCACACCAAAGGCGAGCAGGTGAGTGCTGAGCATGGGAGATGAGCAGGGCTGGGCGTGGGAGGTGAGCAGGGGTCTGGGGTGGGCACAGGAGGTGAGCAGGGGCCTGGGGTGGGCATGGGAGGTGAGTGGGGGTGGGCACAGGAGATGAGCAGGGTTGGGCGTGGGAGGTGAGCCAGGCGGTGTGTGTGTGTGGGGGGGGGTGCCACAGCCACACATGGTCTCTGAAGCTCCCTAATGAGGCTGCAGAGCTGCCACCAAAGCAACCAGAAGCTGCTTCCATGGGCTCAGGGCTCCAGGCCACGACCAGCCCAACACACACTTCATTCCCCCAGAAGCTGGCATCTTCCTCCCTCGCCTCCCAGGCTTCTTGCCTCCTCTCACCTCTGGGCCTTTCAGCGAGGGCAACTCAAGCAGCCCATGCCACAGCCTTGCCCTCGGTGGCTTGGATACACTGCAAGGTCAAGTCCCCAGTTCTGTGAAGCTGCAATGCTCCAAGCCTCGGTGCCATGACAAGGCCACCTCCAGCCACTCACACCTGCTCCCCCATGAGCCTGTGTTACTCACACCACCCTCACTCACACTTCTAGGCCCTGGCATAACGTGTGCCCTCCTGGGAAAACATGCCTTTCCTCCCACTTCTCTGCCTGGAAAAGTACCCCCTGGCCATTACGACTCAGCTCAAACCTCACCTTGTCCATGAATCCTTCCCTGCCCCCAGGCAAGCTCCATTTCTCCCTTGTCTGTGCTTCTAACTATCCAACATGCTATTCTTGATCACTTCCCATGGAGTATCTTGAGAATAGAGTGGACAGAAGTAGAAAGAGAGTGAATTTCCTAAGGTCAGGCAACATCTGGAAACACAATTTTTACCTTCAGCCCCGAACTTTCAGCCCCTCTTACACTAGATACTCAATAAGGTATACTGAATGCATGCACAAGAAAGTTGAGAAATCTAGCACAAGAAATCCAGGAAAACTTTTCTTTTCCATGATGAGCACAAGTGAAATGGTTTGTAATAGTTAACTTCTGTGAAAAGCTGGCAGGGTCTTCCACCCACTCACCCCCTTCACTCCCCGAGTCTACCAGCTGAAGAGTTTCTTTAGTCTTGCGTCTGCTCGCCCCTCTCACCCTACATCTGACCCAGGGGTGAAGCGAGCCCATTTGCCTTTAAGATCCAGTAGGACAATGGCGACGATGCCAATAATCAGCTGAACCGATGCCAGTGACCGTCTGGGCTGCTGGGTCCACGCCAGCACCTGCAGCTGGGCAGGCAATCTGCGTCAGCGATTTTATCAGCCTGGGCTGTGGCAGCCACGGGGGGAGCAGAGAAAGCTGGCTGTCAGCAGACCTGGCGAGAGGGCCAGGGTGCTCACTGCCCGTCAGCAATGGCTCCCAGAGGGAAGCAGGGGCTGCAGGGCGGGCCTGAGGGGAGCCCACTCCAGGAGAAGGAGCTTGCACAACCCAGTGGGCAAGCACAGTGTTCCAGTAAAGCAACCTGACCGCTGAGACCCTGGGCACCCACTGGCCACAGAAGCATTTCTGGCCCCACTCCTGAGCCCCCCAAGGGAACCTGCCCAATTACAAAAAGACCCCGAGACTCTCTACAGGGAGTCTTAGAGCTAGAAAAGCCAAGTCAAATTTTTCCATTTCTGTGGAGATAACCCAGTCTGGGGGAGGACGGGAGGGCGCAGCAAAGTAAGGATCATGGAGCTCCAGCCTGCCAACCCTGCATTCACGCAGACTGACCTGCTATCTGTTTAGATAAGGCGCCTCTGTGTGAGTTGTTAGTTGAAGCCTAACAAAAAGAAGTTTGAGAACCATGGAATTACTCCAACCCTCATCTTACCAAGAGGAGACTGAAGCCAACATGGCGTCCATGTTGACTTACCGGGTCCTCAGCGGGCCAGTCAGCCCCCTGACTGGGTGGCGAGGGGCAAGGAGAACGCAGACTGTAGGAGGATGTCCCAGCCTCCTTCGCCTGTTCCGCATTTGGTGACTGACAGAGACACCCAAGGAGCACCTGGGCAGGGAAGGGCTGTGGCCTGAGGAGCGCACAGCCTCACCTCACTTCAGGAGGGGGACAGCCATTGTCATTTTTTCTCTAAAGTCAACAGTGGGGAAAGCAATCAACAGAAATGTCCTGGGACTTATTCCTAGTAGTTTTAGGAGTTGTTTACTCTTAGGAGTAGTCAGTCTCACAAGCAGTTATGTGACGATCATAATGATGAAGACCGAGAACTTTGTCATTTGCTCTGACTCTTCACATAATCCTGAAATAATAATACCTAATGTAAGTCTTGATGAGCATGTGCAGTTAGTTACCAAGTATTCTGGCTAAGCATGTCTCTAAAATCTCATTTAATCCTTATGTCAGCCTTGCGAACAGTTTCTACTGTCCCTGTAATACATGAAAAAAATCTAGCAAGGCCAGGAAGACTGATCTTTGCAGAAACAGGGCTTACCTCGCTCAAGTTCTAGAGTCATTGTGTCACTGGGTCTCTCAGTTTAAATTCAATCCCAGCCAAAAAAAAAAAAAAAAAGCCCATTGTAATGGGATGTTTAAGCTAAACACCAAACATGTTTGATTATATACTTTCGGATTTTTAAAAAAATAAATTGCCTAAATTTGTGGACAGTATAGGAATCTAAGAAGATATTTTGGCATCAAATCAACATAAGGCACTTTAAATTTTTCTTCTCTCTAGAAACTAGGTATTTTGTTCAATTTCATTAAACCAGATCTAAGCAACTCCACCCTGCCTTGCGGCAGGCTCCCAGGAAAGACTTGGGACCAGAGCACCATTTAGTCAGTAATTGCTGCTACATGGTAATGGTGCCCTAGTGGCTTCCAGAATTGACTGCAGCTTCTAGAAGTGCCCAACATACAACCAGAGAGCACTCTGGGTCCTTAGAGAACCTGGTTCCATGGAGATCATTGCAAGTGATTGCCTTCAGTGGAGCTGTTACGTAACCATGAAGAATTCCTTGATTTCAGTTTTGCACACAAATTTCACACTGCGAATTTGTGACATGGTGACCCACACACAGGGGGACAGTATGTCCTCCCTGGGCAGGAGGGGGTGGAGCCTGCTGGCCTTTAACTGAACATGTTCTGGAAAGAAACACCTTAACATATTATAGCACTGTTCATGTCGGAGGAGCCTGGAAGAGTCTGAAATGAGGTCTTAATGAGGAAAACCCCCAGGTGCTTGAAGAGCTTTTCAAACAAAATTAACCGCAGGTACCATCTTCACCTGCAAGTTTATAATTTTGCTTGGATAGGAAGAGAAGACATCCATTTATTCATCCACTGGGTAACTTGAAGGAGGGAGCATCCTGGCCAGGAGCGAGCAGATTTAGTCCCTGTTTGATTGTACAGACCAAAGACACTTAACCTTGGGGCTTTCCCTCCACAGACAAAACAGATATAACATTGCTCACCCCCATCCCAGGGCTGTTAGCCCCAACTGGTCAGGATCACATAGGCAAAGGGCCAATGTGGAGTCTTCGCAAATGTAAGAAGGGGTGACCATGCCATCTCGGCAGCAGCGGAGGGCACAGACTTTCCGTCTTGCGTATCTGGAGAGGAACAAATTAATGAATAATGTTAAGCGCCCAGGATAGTCCTGGGGGGTGGCTGCCCCAGACCTGCATCCTGTTCCCGGTGCGCCAAACAGTGTAAGGAGACCAGGAAACCAGCTATGCAGCCAAAGCAGGGTCCTGTTTCAGATGGAAGGTGCTCTATCCTGTGCCTGGCTGGCATTCCACCAACTGACACTGACCTCAGGAATGTGCCAGGGAAGCCAAGGGTCTGGGCCTGGGAGAACAGAGGCCCAGCGAGCAAGCATGGGAGTCAAGAATGAGCAGGAAGGAGAGAGCAGGAAGGAGAGAGCGAGAGGAAGGTGCCTTTCCTGCAAGTCCACAGATGGGCGTGGGTCTCTAGGAGGGCTCACCACGGAGGTGTCCCTGTGTGCACTGACTGCTCTTTGTTCCCTAGGGCCTCTACCCACTGCCCTTGCTCAACAGCGCCCTGGATGACGGGAAGGCCACCCTGACCCCGTCCAACACACCCTTGGGACGCAACCACTCTACTCACCAGACCTACCCAGTGGTGGCAGGTAGGAAGCCCAGAATCTGCGGGCCACAGGGAGCCAGCTGTGAGGACGGGCTGGAGGGCAGAAGACGGCAGCGCTGGTCGGCTGTGAGGAGGAAGGGACTAGGGCTCAGGGCCTGGAGAGGAGAGGTGGATGGCGTTGGCTCAAGTTAGGTCAAAGGGTGCAGCTTCGACCCCGGCTCCTCCCCCTGCTCACCGAGGCTGACCCACCGCGGCAAGGGGCTGCCGCTAGTTCTCCATCTACAGCAGTAGAGCACAGCAGGGAGGCGGAGCTTCTCCCGGGCCTTCTCGCCCAAACTGAGCAACACCCCCGCAGCTCCCATTTCACCCCCAGACGCAGAGGAGCCTGAGCCTGCCGACCCCTTCACCCTACCCTGTCTCCTGCTCCCTCCCACCCTTCCCCCAGACTCAGAGAGGAGCCCCAGCCTGCCTGCCCCTGCGCCCCAGCCCCCACTCCCACCCCTTCCCCACATCTCATGGCTTGGTTTTTGCATGTTCCCACCCATCATCTCACATCCCTCTCTCCTTGTTGTCTCCCTCCCTCCGGCAGATCCTCATTCACCCTTCGCCATAAAGCAGGAAACCCCCGAGGTGTCCAGTTCTAGCTCCACCCCTTCCTCTTTATCTAGCTCCGCCTTTTTGGATCTGCAGCAAGTCGGCTCCGGGGTCCCAGCCGGTGCCTCGGTCCCGCCCTTCAATGCCTTTCCCCATGCTGCCTCCGTGTACGGGCAGTTCACGGGCCAGGCCCTTCTCTCAGGTACGACAGGGAGGTCCCTTCCTGGGCCGTGCAGGTATTGCGGGGGGCATGGGAGGGGGGTCTTCAGGGCCAGCTGCCAGTCCCCTGGTTTGGTTCCAGCTTCCTCTCAGACCCCCCCAGCTCAGTCCACCACCCCTCTTTCCCCAGATCCTCCAACAGCTTTTGAAGATGCCAATATGAGGTTCTCCATGTTGGCAATCAGGCGCGGGAGGGGTGGGCATTCGAAGGATGCCAGGGATTTGGGTGCCTGGCAGGTTTCCAGAACCTACCCCCAAAACCCCATGGAAGAACAGGGACCTTGAAGCCAGGATCTGGGAAAGGGAAAGGGTGAACACTTGGTCCGAGTTAAAAAAAAAAATAACAGAAAACATTGAAGGAGAAAGGTTTTTGGAGCCAATTTCTGGATCCAGTTTCAGAAGGTAGAGGACCATCCAGTAGCTTGGAGGACACTGAAGCCGAGTGACCCACCATTGAGAGAAGGGAAGAGGGAAGGGGACGCACCCATCAGAAATGTCATTGATCTCAAAACATTTAAGGCTGAAGACACTTTAAGGGGACGTAAAAATCTGATTATACTGATGGGATACGGGTCCAGGGAGAAGGGCCCTGAACAGGAGTGTGGTGTCCAGCAGGGTAAAAGCGTAACGCCTTGGCTTTTGTGCTCCTTATCAGTTAGGCCTGGGCAGAGGTGAGTCTCCCTGCAAAGGGACACACACCTGTCCAGCCACGTCCTGAGCAGTTGCCAAGACCCAGAGAATCGACAAGTTTGGCTTGGGCAGAAGCCTCAGATGGAGTTGAGTGTGGGGGACAGAGACCCATAATATAGTCTTCAACTATATGCCGGAATTCCACAGACGTGAGACTATTTTAGATATGGCCCAAGGTGTTGACCCTGAACCCACAGAGGAAGCCAAAAGTGGGCCTATCCTTCTGGACCAGCGGTTTTCAAACTTGGGCCCGACACTACGCTCTTGAAGTGAAAGGTTTTACAGAAGCCAGATAATTCAAACCAGACAAAATGAAGTAAGGGCCCTGTCCCCTGAAAGACCTAGGACTTGAGAACCACTGCCCCAGTAGAAAAAGACCTCCATCCAGCCAGAAGATTCACAAGGTCGTCTTCAAATTCATCAGTCGTTCTTACAACTGATTCAACATGTTCTGTCTGGCTGGCACTTGGGGATGTTTTTCCTCTGTGCATCCCACTTCTAAGAGGGAGGTTCTCTTGGAAAAGGTGGGCCCAGAGGTAAAGGTTTAAGAAATAAAGCCCAGTGTGTCGGCAGAGAGGCAGTGTTTTAGGGTCTGAGGCTAGGAAGAAAATGTGTCAGAGTTCAAAATTTCAAAACAAGACAGAGTCAAAGAGATGGGTCATTTGTTTTGACCGAAGTGATTAAAGAAGAAAAGTCTTGGAGCTGAGTAAAGTGTTGTCAGCAGAGAAAATGGGATGGGGAAAGGAGGCTGAGGGCCGGTGAAGAGATGCCCAGCGCCCCCACATGACAGCCAGGTCGCCTCCATGACCGAGGGCCCAGCCAAGGAGGGCTGCCACGAAGCTGGGAAGGCGTGAGGTGTGAAGGAAGCATGTGGTGGTGGGAGCAGCCCTTCAGCTACTGCTGGAGGATGGAAAGCTGGGCAGGAGCAGCTCAGAGAGGGAAGCACAGACGGCAGCAGGGAACGGGTACATCAGACAGTCAGGCGGTGGTGAAGTTAGCTGGAACAGCCCAGGGAAAGCTCCCGGCTTCGGAGCCCTGATTTGGCCCTGTACCTGTCACCCCTTTGGGGCTTCGAGCACCCACTGCCACTATCCAATCAAATCAGGAGGAGGGGTCCCTCCAACTTCTGTCAGTTCTCGGTGGGCATGCCTGCCCTTCAGATGAGCTGCAGGCCTGGGAGGACATGTGCCCCCTGGGGCAAAGCAACTGGCAGCAGAGACCAAGGTTCAGTCAGCAACAGGCAGCAAATCTGCAGCATTGCATATGCTGGCCCCAGAGCCAAACCCGGCTGATGTTGCTGTGCAGGATATGACCCCACGAGGCTTGTGGCAGTCACAGGCCCCAGTTCATGGGCTGAAGACACAGACCAGAAGCGGGGTCTGGGAGAAGAGCAAGCAGTGCCGGGCTGGAGGGAACTGAGTCCAGGCGGGGTGCCGAGAGGAGAGAGCAAGTCAGCATTGCCGTGTGCAGTTGGCCCGCCCTGTAGCATGGCATAAGGCCCCTCTGGCAGGTGTCCATGGGGAGCTCAGGGAGCTGCCTGGAGCTCTTTGCACACTGTCCACCTGTAGCCCTAGGTCAGATGGGACCTAAATGCCAGGTAGCCGTGGTGAGAGAGCTGGCAGGACAGGGCAGGAGGAGGACGGTCAGGAGGGAAATGGCCTCAGGAGTTTGGGGTCTAGAAACCTATTCAAGGAGAAATAAGTGATTCTTTAAAGGGTGGTAAAGAAGCCAAGATGAGATTATCCCCAGGGGACGCTGCAGAGATGGCAGAGGCTGGCCGACCGTGTGAGTTTTTATGCCATCGTCAGCGCAGCCCTGGCCCGGCCCTCCTGTGTGTGTGGCTCCTGCTGTCATCTCCTGACACACCTTGCCTCCCCTGGGGTCACTTCCTCTCCCGCCTCATGAGTGATTCTGATCCTGTGATCCCCACAGTGACTCTGTTGGGGTGTCCCTCATCAGCCAAGAAAGAACATCAAGGTTTGGGGAGCAATGGAATTGCACCCCACACTCCCGCCAGCTCCCCTCGTGTGCTGCAGTCTCAGGCCCCGTCCTTTTCCTGGCCCTTCCGGGACTGACCGCAGCTCCGCTGATCAGAAAGCTCTGAGTCTGGTCTATCATCAAAGAGCTCATTACCCTCCCCCATCCTTTTGTGAAAAACTGTATTTAGCCCTGCCAAAGAGATTTCTGGATTGTCATAAATTTTCCTTGCTATCGGAACAAGATAAGGAATTGAAAAGGGTTACTTGGAGGACGTACATCAAAGGGGCCCCATCAAATTGTCTGACGTCACCTCTGCCCTCTGAATTCCTCCAAGTAAGGGTTTTCTGATCCTGGTCTCTAGTGCTAGTTGGAGCACTTAGCAGTACTTTGTGGGTGCTAGTATTTTCTCAGAGAACCCCCGTTTTATAACCAGCAGTAGGAACCTGAGTCTTCTATGTCTGCTTCTTAAAAATAGGGCTAGGCTAGAAGTCTACTGAGTGCAGAGAAAATGGAATGATAAACTTATGGTGAAGAATCTTAAAAATAAGTAAATAGATAGATAGATAGATAGATAGATAGAAGGATTTGGGCAAGCCATGATGGAGGCCACCCTCTCGTGACCTCTGCTTTCATTTCTAAGGAGCTTGCAAGGTTCTTGATTTGGGGGGGGGGGGGGAGAGGAAGCCATGTTATTTAAGG